CCACTTCACTTTTATACTTTTCTTCAATGTGGGACAACACTTTCACTCACATGTAGGTTTTATATAGGCTCAACAAAGAACAAACATGTTTTGCATCCTACGGGTGTGCTGAGTAGCAAGGAGGTGAGGAATAGTCGGGTGGGGGGGGGGGGGGGAAGAGTTGGAGGGAGGCAAAGGAGGTAATATTGAGATGGTGTATGGTGAGGGGGGAATAAGTGGTGATGTGGTTCATGGTGTTGACTCCTCTGAGAGGTGTGAAGCAATTAGGGGAATACTGCAAAATTCTACAGTTGGGGAGGAGATAGATGGGGCTACTGATGTGGAGAAATTTGGGGAAGATAATACAATAGAGGGAGGGATTGACGAGGAGGGCAGGGTAGTTGAAAGACAGAGTTTTATAAGTGGGGTGGGGAGTGTTACAGAGAAGGGGTGGGGTATAAGAGGTTGGAGGAGGATTGAGAGAATGGAGGAAGGGTATTCGAGGAGTGATTTAATCAGCAGTGAGTGAGGAATTGGTTGAGAAGGACAAAAAGAGAATGAAAGCAGTACACTTGAATGGTGGGGATAGCTTTATCCAAGTAGAGGGAGTTGGGCACACTCAATCCCTTGAACGAAGATGAAAATCCTAAGTTGGAACGTCTATCTGTGGGATTGGCAACCCATGGACGGAGAGGACTCTCTGTAATTTATGGTGGAGAGAGCGACCAAATGTGGTTTTCTTGATGGAAACGAAGATTGATGAAAGTAGATTGGAAAAAATAAAAAGAAGATGTGGCTTTGAGAACGATATTTGTCTTAGTAGAAACGGTAGATCGAGGGGGATGGGTTTTTGGTGGCGATGATTATGTCTTATTCTATTCATCATTTTCCTGCAAATATTTGTAATATTATGGCACTCCTCATTGGAGGGCAATGGGTATTTATGGATGGGCGGAGACGGAAAATAAGTGTAAGACACGGGAGCTAATGAAGACTCTTAAAGCCTTGTGTGATATTTCGTGTGTGATGTTTGGGGACTTTAATGAGATTGTTAGTTTGACAGAGAAATATGGGGGAGCGGTGAGGAGAGAATGTATAATGGATGCGTTCCGTGATGCTACTGATGTGGGTAGATTTAGGGACTTGGGGTACAAGGGTAATATCTTCACGTGGCAAAGAGGGAACATTGTTGATACGATGGTGAGGGAAAGATTGGACAGATTTTCAGGTGATGATGATTGGTGTGAGCTCCATCCGAATTTCACAGTTCGACACCTTGCTAGAGTTGGGTCCGATCACACGCCTTAATATTCTTGACATCATAAATTATTTTGAAAGGGGGAGGAAGGGAAAACTTTTTCGTTTTGAGGTGATGTGGCTATCCAAGGATGAGTGTTCGCAGGTGGTAAAGAAAGCGTATGGGGATGGTGAGGGGCAAGAACCACATAAGCGTATTGCATTGTGTGCTGAGTCGTTAACAAAGTAAGTAACAAAAGCTTTTGGGGAGGTGAAGAAAAAACATCAGAGCTTGTGAAGAGAACCTTCAGGTTGCGAAGGGACAGCAAGTAGATGCAGCTATGCTAGCTACATGTGAAAAATTTACAGGTGAAATAAATCAATTACGGAGGCAAGAAGAATCTTACTGGTATGCCAGATCGCGGGCTAACGAGTTGAGAGACAGCGACAAAAATACAGCCTATTGTCACAGGAAAGCATGTCAGAGGAAGAAAAAGAATAGATACGATGGGCTGTTTGATTCGTTGGGGGAATGGAAGACAGGAGAAGCTCAGATTAAGAAGGTGGTATCAGACTATTTTTCCTCCGTATTTGCAACTGAAAATCCTTCTGATTTTGCTGCTGCACTCGAGGGCGTGAAGACGGTGGTCACCACGAAAATGAATGCTGCCATGGAAGAGGAACCAAGTTCTGATGATATTAAATTTGCACTCTGCCAAATGCACCCGAACAAAGCGCAAGGTACGGATGGACTGCATGCCCTTTTTTTCCAAAAATTCTGACATATTGTTGGTCCTGATATTGTCACTCTAGTTAAAAATTGGTGGAGGAGGTCTAGTTGATATTTCTGTAATTAATAAGACGTGCATTGTGTTGATTTCTAATTAAATGCAATGACTCGAAGTTTATGACTGAATTTAGACCTATATGTTGCTGTAATTTGATCTACAAAATAATATCGAAGACAATGGCTAATAAGCTTAAACCTTTTCTCAACTATATTATTTCTGTAAATCAGAGTGCCTTTGTACCGGGTCGGTTGAAAACTGATAATGCCATGATTGCTTTCGAAATTTTCCATGCTATGAAAAGAAAAGGGGAAGGCAGACATGGTACTGTGGCTCTTAAACTCGATAAGAGTTAGGCATATGACAGGGTCTGGTGAAAATTGGGTTTTTTTTGGAAAAAGTTATGTTAAAATTGGGGTTTGGTGAAAATTAGTTTTGTCGGGGTGATGGATTGCATCTCTAGTGTGTCTTTCACTTTTAAGGTGAATAATGAGATTTTCGGCTCTGTTGTTCCGACTCGTGGTCTCCGCCAAGGTGATCCTATTTCTCTTTATTTTTTTTTTTCAGTTATGTGCAGATGCTTTATCTAGTTCGTTACTAAAAGCCGCTCATGAAAAGAAAATTAAGTAGGGCTAGAATATGCAATTCTGCTCCGAGAGTGTCCCGCTTGTTTTTTTTGCCGATGATAGTATGTTTGCAAAGGCGACTCTGCAGGAATGTTCGAAGATTGCTGATATTATCAGTATTTATGAAAGAGCATCTGGTCAGAAAGTAATCTAGATAAGACAGAGGTTGCTTTTAGCAAATGTGTTTCTGTAGACAGAAGACAAGCTATCATTTATACTTTGGGTGTGCGGGAGGTTGATAGACATGAAAAGTACTTGGGGTTGCCGACGATCATTGGTAAGTCAAAGAAGGCCATTTTTGCAGGGTTGAAGGAGAGAATTTTGAAGAAATTAAATGGGTGGAAGGAGAAATTGCTTTCAAGACCGAGGAAGGAAGTACTCATTAAAGCACTGGCACAAGCTATTCCAACATGTATGATGAGCAATTTTAAAATTCCGGAGGGCCTTATTGATGAGATACATAATCTTTTATGTCGCTTTTGGTGGGGGTCAACGGATGATAACAAAAAACTCCATTGGCAAAGTTGGGAAAAGCTATGTTTGCCAAAGGCAATGAGTGGTTTGGGTTTCCGGGATCTTAAATGTTTTAACCAAGCTTTATTAGCAAAAAAAGTTTGGCGATTGGTCTCGAATCCGAACTCACTACTTTGTAAAATATTAAAAGCAAGGTACTTCAAGAACTTGGGGGTTTTGGAGGTGTTGCGAGAGCATGATCCAAAATTTGCTTGGCGAAGTATTTGGGGGTGCGAAGGGGTTGCTGCGAGATGGGTTGGCTTGGCATGTGGGCAGTGGGGTTGACATTAGAGTATAGAAAGACCCTTGGGTGATCAGAGAAGGCAGACCGACTATTTAGCATCCTCCTGGTGATGTGGATGAGGATACGAGAGTGCTGGAACTTATGGTTAACGGTCTTGCTGAATGGGATGTTAGTAAGATTGGGGGGTTAGTGGATAATGAAACGAAGGCATCAATTCTTGCTATTCCCTTGTCTTGTCGCAGTCGTGAGGATGTGCTGTATTGGTGTCGTGGGAAAAGGGGTCTCTATACTGTCAAAACGGGGTATTAGCTCGCAAAAGAAGGTGGTGATGGGAACTTGGTTGGGGTGATCATGATGATATGGCGCTCGGTTTGGAATGTTAGTGGCCCACCTAAGCTGAAGCACTTCCTGTGGAGTGCTATGAAGGGTAATCTTGTTGTCAAAGATCGCTTGAGACAAAGGCACATTACTAGTGACGCTTCTTACCAAGTTATAGGAATGCTACTGAAACAATTGTGCATTCTCTTTTCTTCTGTACGGCTGCAAAGGAAATTTGGGATCACAGTGGGTTACAAGCTAGCATGTATGATGCCCCAACTGATACTTTTGCTGCTTAGATGGTTGTGGTTGAATAATAAATTTGATCTGATGCGAAGGTAGTAAGGGGTATGTGTGCTTTGATGTGGGCTGCTTGGAGGTGTAGGAATTTGGCTGTTTTCAAAAATGAGCACCCCAATGCAGTAATGCTGGCGGCTAATTATAGCAGACTGGTCTTTGATTACATTGAGTATTCGAAGAAAGTCTTCATGCCTATTTCTGCACATACGGGGATAGCTAGCTGCCCATCTAAGCCAATGTTGATGCCCATATCCCGTCTGTTGGGAGTGCAGGCCTCGGTGTGGTTCTTAGGAATGCAGATGGGGGCATTGTTCTCGCAGCTACCAGGAGAACTGAGATCACTAGTGTGAAGTGTGTAGAAGCGATGGCAGTAAGGTATGCGCTAAGGCTTATGAGATTGAGGCGTTCAAGCAAGTTACTTGTTGGAATCGTCTTGATTAATAGTTTTATCAATATTCAATTATTATAAATTTCACTTATTAATAATTAGAAAAATTATTGATTAAAGTTTTGCATTAACATACATGTTTAGGGGAAACGTTTCACTAAAATAAATGGAGGGATTTGTAAATGAAAATCATTTCATTTTAATTATATTTTCTCCATTAATTAAAATTTTAAACATACGCAAATTAAGGTAATTTGATAAAGTATTGATCGTGGTAACTGATTTACCCACGAGCATCCTTAAAAGTTAACGCTTGTCAACGCACAACTTTAATCATCTACATCTATATATATATATATATATATATATATATATATATATATATATATATATATATATATATATATATATATATATATATATATATATATATATATATATATATATATATATATATATATATATATATATATATATATATATATATATATATATATATATATATATATATATATATATATACGAGCCTCCTAAGGAAGTAACAATTTCCAAAATTTACTTTTGGATATGAAATATACTCAACAATAGACCATTCAGAATTTCAGACTGCAAACTTGAAGATGGAATTGACTCGGTAATTGGTGAATCCAGCAAGTGCTTGATTACACAATTCAGACTCAATCCAATAGATAGAACATGCAGAGGATAATGATTTTCTTACGAATTTTACAGACCGTAAAATTTGGCTTTACAGAACAGCAATGTGCCTCACTGCAACCAGGAACTCCAAAGATTCATATATGAATTGTATATCACAGTTAAGCAATACGGAGTACCTTTTAGCAAAAATAATCATTTACATATTTGATCAAACACCGGTCAAAAAAAAAAAAAAAAATTTGATCAAACACTACGCAGATCAAGAGGAGCAGACGAGAGCATTTACAACATAATGATGCTATCCCCCTTCTGCAGGATTTAGCATCTGGAATTCTGGATCATCCTGAAATTCACAATGATCAGAAAATCAATTGAATCAAATGAGATATTACAAAACCTTGTATGAGCATGCGTGATCAAGTAATATAGAGAGAGAAAAACCTTCCTGTTATCAGTGTGAATAGTTCTTTTAAGCCTCGACTTCCAGCTCTTTTGACATCAATTTAGAAGCAAGCCTTTGAACTGCACTGATGTTTTGATTGTCAAGGGTTACAGCTGTTCATCCAGGCTCCGGAAAAGTTCATCACATTAATTATCTAAGTATAGAAAGAAACTCTTTGTGATGTAACAACAGCGACTATAAATGCAAGGATATTTTTTCTTCATAGATGGGATGGTTCAGCATCAAAAGATTGTTGTTGTTCACAAGAGCTCGGACCAGTAACTCCTTCGCTTCCTCATGCTTCTTTTTCAACATGTTGCAGATCTGCAGAGCAAACCCAACAACCTTGATTTTCATTTCTCAATGCATAGCATTAGACACAGAGAAATATAAACATGAAAAAAAAGGAATTTGGATGCAAGTTAGTGCTTCGTATCTCATAAAAGAGAGATTTGGAAAGGCAACTGTGATCAATTAAGGTCTTGAATGATGTAAACGAGTAATCTTCGATTAGTCAAGACTTCTAAATACTCCGTAGTATATAATGAATGTCATGCAGATAGTTGGCATTAATTGCCCTCTAACCGCATGCTAAAATATTTAAGTACTGATAGTCATACAAGTCATGAAAAACAGTTCCTGAAAATAAATTTTCATCCAATTGTTCTTAGTGGTGAGCAACCCTGGCAAATAATATACATTGGTCTAACCTTCGAAAAGAAGACAGTTCACAAAGAACGTCACTAGCAGGAAAAAGAGTTCCCTGAGAGACGTGCCATTCTAAATCAAAAAAAGTATGAGCCTGGGTGTGCAAAGAATATATATGGAATTGGTTCAGCAGTGGTGCCTCGACGAAAAGTACAAACAGGTAGAAAGAAAATAATATAACACTACACTCAATTTAAAGTTTATGTATCAGGATACTCAGAAGGGAGTACAGGTACTTCAATTAACTACAAAAACTTAAGAGAACTTACTGAAATATGCATGAGTTTAATCTCCAGTTTAATTTCTCAGTCATACTTCATAATCTAAGGGCAAAGGGCCAAAAAGAAGAAACATTCATCATCTAAATTCAGTTAAATCTAATCTGTGATATTATGATAGTATGTTTGAATATGAAGGACGGGAAGGGAATCAAAGGGATTTATAATTCTTCGACGGCAAACCAAATTCTTCCAATATTGGAAAACATTTAAAGGATAACTCAATACTTCTGTTCCCATTCCCCTTCCCACTCTTTTTACTCACCTCCCACCTTCCTCAATGATCAACCAATCATCAATAATTAGGCTTTCATGATTTGGAGGACAATATACTCAGAAATGATATACTTCTTGCTTTGGCAAAAGTGATGATAGAGACCATAGGCAATCATCTTCATCCGATTTTCGGATCTCTGCTTTTTCCTTCTCTCCTTTAGAGGCCAGGTTTACTTAGATTATTGAATTGCTCTTTTAGGTCAAATTTCACTGCCAATAAACTGAAAACAAAACTACTTACATTATCTAGCTCTTTTGCGCATGCCTCAGCCTTTTCAACATTTGCGTCGTTCTCCACCATCAAACTGAATTGGAGGGCTGCCATGTTTGCCTCTTGATCAAAATGAAAATTAGGGGTCTTGTTCTCTTGTGAGACATTCTTCGTGCTTCCTACCACAGAGTTAACTTGAGTTTGAACCTATACACACGGCCAGGTAAAGTTTGTAAGCATAGCGAATCACATGGATCTACTTTCACTAATTGTGTTTCCCTTTAGAAGCAAATATTAGTAAAATATTTTAAACAGAATGTGTAAGAGATTACCCCATCTCCAGGTTCTCTGACTGCCACTTTAGACATTCTGTACATTCAAACAAATTGAAATTAGCTAACAGGAAATAATCTGATATGATACAAAGACAGTTTTAGGAGTGTGCTGCACCTGCTTTCATTGGGTGAGAAACGTTTTGGTGTATAAAGCTTTGGTGGACCCATATCAGCAGCCTGCCCATTGTTCTATGAGTTACTAAGAATGCTTTAGTAGAGATGTCAGAGAGCTTCAGATGACAGGATTATGGAAAGAACCTCAGATGGTTTGCGCTTCAAAGAGGGAGTTGGAGTTTGTTTCCCAGAAATAGTAGGGGACACCGTCTTAACCATTGCTTGTTGTGGCCTTGTGCTTTTCTCAACAATTCCCAGAGATTTAACATTACTTAGCATAATGGGAGCAGCTGGATGTTTGTCTGTAGTGGTACGCCTATACAAATAATTTTCCAGAAAATTAATCTGCAGAAGCAGCGGCATAAAAGAAGATACAGGCAAAATCAGCTATTAACAACATACCTTGTAACTTTCAAACTAGGAAGAGCAAACGTTTTCTTGTCAATTCTCTGGGACGTAAGTTTATTTCCTTGACCAATGTTTAATTTCTGAGTCAATGCAATGCTTGAAATCTTGTCTTTAAGATTACCTTGCCTCTGGTTGCCATTTTTAGTTCCCTGTTCTGGTGGAGTCGATAAAGGAATTTTAAAGCTGCAGGACATTCAACATGATACCCCAACATAAGCAGAACATAAAAGCAATCCATAAGTTTCCTTGTCATTTTTAAAGAAGCCTAACTGTTGCTAATATTTGTTGTCACATAGAAATAGTTACATCCAAGATGCTAAGTTAAATGATGACAAATCTGCCAGCCTCCAACACAAGAGAGTAAGCAACAGGCCTAGATATCTCATTATCAGATTTTGGAGGAATTTATTGTGATTATATAACAATATACAATCAAAGAAAGGAAGGACGGAAAAAAAAAAAAAAAAAAAAAAAAAAAAAAAAAAAAAAAATTGTATGCCAGATTCCGTAAGTTGATAAAAATAGATACTTAATTGTTAAAAGGACAGATGATAAATAAAATATGGAGGAAACATTGAAGATGTTGTCATAAAATTATGAAGGTCAATAATCCCTCAATGTGACACAAATTTCAGGAGATCACCACTGAAATATAGTGGAGTAGGCAAGTAATTACTGAGGTATTTGTAATATTGCTAGTGATACAGTATTTTGGAATGGAACAATGGTAAGTCTCACCCAGAAGATTTGACATTGCTGGTCATTTTCTCACATTCCAGCGAAGGGAGTCCATCATTGACTGCTTTTCCATTTTGTGTCACTGTATCAACACTCGCCTCATTCCTTTCTTCTCCGTTTACAATGTCGTCATGGTCCCTGATCAAACTTAAAGCATATAAGTATAGCGAAAGCAACTTCATAATAAATATAAGGAGTCATGATCAGAGTCAAACGTCATAGTTTGTAGTATAGTAACATCACCTAGGAGGAGTATGAGCAGCAGCATCCTTCTCACTTTTTTCCGTAACTGAATCTGACTGAATCAATTCTTTGGTACATGAACTTGGACGGTCATTTAATTCCTTTACAATATGTTTGCTGCTGCCATAACTACAACTAACAGAGACACTGCAATATTATTAGGACTTCGAAGTAGCTACAAACGTTGAGTTCTGACACTACAAAAGTTTACCTTCTGTTTACAGCATCAGTATGTGTTGTGCCTTCTTGGTTACCCTCAGAAGCTGAAAATTCTGTCCTGCCACCCTCATTTGTTGCTTGTACAGCCAGAAACCTCGAGTTAATAGCTCGTGGAACTTTAATCTTCAGCAGCGTTGTTTTTGCAGAGGTTGGTCCACTGGACAAGATTAATTACAAATTGTGACATTGATGCAAGGTGTGTCCCACAATCATCATACAATTCAGCATATCATAATGTAGTGATGATGTTAGCCTCCATACCACCCTGGATCCCCCCCCCCCCCTCTCCTTTTTATACCCAGATATAGAATGATAAACATTGCACATACCATAATATGTTTATTTAGAAACCACGCTCAGAGATTAGCATTGGTAAGTCATATTTGCTGGGTCTAACACCACCCTGGATCCCCCCCCCCCTCTCTCTTTTTGATACCCAGATAGAGAATGATAAACATTGTACGTACCAAAATATGTTTATTTAGAAACCATGCTCAGAGATTAGCATTTGTAAGTTATATTTGCAAGGCCTAACACCCCCCTCCCCACACACACCTCTTTATACCACAGTAATTACACCTATCCACATACTCTCCTGTACTTTATTTACCTTTTTCTTACACCCATAAACCTTTCGATACTCTCTCTCTCTCTCTTACTTTATCCTACTTTTTTTTTTACACCCACTCACGTTTTTCTAATTTTTTTTAAATTAAGTAACTGAGTAAAACATAAAATAGAAGAACGGAGGGACAACAACATATCCCTAAATACAACTATGGTAATTAATGAATAAATCTACAGATAAAAGCATCCAAGCAAATTTTCCTAATTAACTATCCAAGTTATATTATGAAAATAGGAACAAGAAACACCCAATGTCATGTAATTTCCACAAAGCTTACAACTTGCTGCCAATTTATAAGATGTACATCATGCCTTCCATCCAATAAGTGTCCAATGAGCACAAATCTCCAGCCCCATGGAAAGTAGCACAAACCTTATGCAAGAAATCACACTCAAAGCATTCGATCCTCACTAAACATATTAGGTTTAATCTTAACAGCATGAAATTCAAAGCATTGATCGGCATAAATGTAACGAACCCCCAAAAAATTAGAAAGGTGGCTAAACCTGTCATATGTTGTTGATGACGCCTTTGAAACTGGCTTTAGCATTTCGGCACTGGATCTAGCAATGGAGGACATTGCCTTTGTGTCACTAGTTTCAGAAGTGTTAACAGCATCTGAAGGGAGCTTAGCACTGCCCAAACTACCACCATGACCATGCTCATTCTTTCCATCACTAGTATTCATTCTGTCAATCATGTATTGTAGCGAAGAGTTTAGTATCAGTTTTTTTAATATCTAAGAAAATAATAATGACTCCTTTCCCAACACAAAACAGAAATATATACTATGAAGAAAGTTCATAAATACTTGCCCATCAGAATCAAAAGTATAGGTGAACTTGTCATGCTTGTCTTGATGTTTACCCTTGGCAGAAACCACTTCTGAAATTTCCACCAACTTTGTGGATTTAGGAAAATCAACATCTGGCATATCCATTTTGAAAGATGACATCTTTCCAAATGCATCATCAAGAGAAAAATCCATATCCCTGTAAGATATATATCATGAGCACAAACAAACTAATGCACTAAAGAACTAGAAAGTATGTCTGAAGCAAAGTATCATCACACTTCCACAAAATATATATGCCTATAACTTTACAAGAGTTATAACTTATTAAAAAATGTATACTAGAGGACCTGAATCAACCCTGACTATCAATATTGCAAGTGATGCATATGGAATGTTGATAAGTCTTACCCGGAAATTTTGACATTGTTGTTCATCTTCTCACATTCCAGTGAAGGGAGTCCACCATTTGCTTTGCCATTATGCTGCACTGTGTTAACACTCACTTCTTTCATATTTTTCCCATTGACAGGGTCATCATGGTCCCTGCTCAAATTCCAAGCATATAATTTAAGCAAAAGCAACTTCATAATACTATAGTTGTCATGCTTTGAAACAAAGGTTAGATTTTGGAGTGTAGTGGCATCACCTTGGAGGAGTTTGAGCAGCAGCATTTCTTTCACTTTTCTCTATAACTGAATCTGATTGAATCAGTTCTTTGGTACATGAACTGGGATGGTCATCTAGTGTATTCCCATTATTTTTGCTGCTGCCATAGCTGCTACAACAGAGACTTTGCAAGATTATAAGGAAACTAAAGTAGACAGAAGAGTAGAGTTCACTACAAAAGTTTAAATTACCTTCTGTTAATAGCACTTGTATGTGTTGATCCCTCTCGGATATCCTCAGAAACAGAAAGTTCTGTCCTACCACCATCATTTGTTGTTTGTACACTAGCTGCAGAAGTGTTAATGGTGTCTGAAGGGAATTTAGCACTACCAAAACAACCACCATCACCAGGATCTTTCTCCCCATCACTAATGTTCATTCTGTCAATCAGGCATTTTAGTGGACTTGTGAGTTCTTCTATAAATGTCTAAGCAATTGATGATGACTCCTTTCCCAAAACCAAACTGAAGTATATACTATGAAAAGATTATAAAGATACTTGCCCGTCAAAATCGAAAGAAAAATTGAACTTGTCATGTTTGTCTGAACGGTTTCCTTTGGCAGAATCCTCTTCTGACTTTTCCTTTGACTTTTTGGATTTATTTGGAGAATTAGAAAAATCAATATCTGGCAAATCCATCTTGAAAGAAGGCATCTTGCCAAATGCATCATCAAGAGAAAAATCCATATCCCTGGTAAGATATATTTTATAAGCAAAGATGTACTAATGCTCTATAAACATAAAAAATTATACACAATTGTTGTCTGAAGCAAAGTATCATCACAAGCAAATTGAACGTTTGTGATTTCATTGCAATTGTAATACTTGTAAACTAGAGGCCCTGAGTACTGACTATTAAAAAAAGTAAAAGTGACAGCAATTTACAATACCTCCATTGGCTCCATACCCAATTCTAAAAGTAAAATGCCCAACGGGACATTCAGATATGCAATAACAAGCCAAAAAAGTATTATTTCAACATATTACTCTGATACTTCATGAAGAAAATTATTATTTATTCATTTAAATTCAATCTGCCTCAGGAGTCCATTGTGGCCAGAAACCTGTATGAAGAATACAAATGACCTGTAAAACTAATCCCTATTGATCTTTCTAACAAAATGGTGTTAAGGCTGGCAAAGAGGCAACACAAAGAACAACATAACAAGCAACAAGAAGATACATCATAATGATATACCTGGACATTTGTCTTCATCGAGACAGAATTAATAATAAACACAGTACTATTTCAGAAAACTTACATGCCAAAGTCGAATGCCTTTTTCTTGCCTTTGCTGACTGGTTCAAAGCTGAAGTCCATATCATCAGTGCCTGACTTCCATGAACTAAGAAAATCTTTAGAGAAGTCCTCATCTGTATTTAGTTTGATCAAACCAACAGTGTGTAAGTATGATAAAATATCAGATAACCAGATTTTTTTGTCAGTGCAAACAGAATAGCTAAGAGCAGAGATATTTGCAACAGTGAAAATGACAAATGAAAACAAAAACAAGATTTTTTTGCAGAGATTGTCTCTGAATACTTCCTTAGGTTCTCCCTGCTCCACTGCCCCAGTGAAAAAAGAACATGAAGTGTTTCAGCACCTATCTTATTCCATTTGCACTCATTCAACTAATATCTCTAATTCATCATGAATTGCAGCAGTACCCTCAACTAATACACAGATTCTTCTAAGTGATAAACAGAAATCATTTCGACAATTTGACTTTTTCTAGAAGTACCACAGACACATAATCATCAAAAGTAAGGCTGAATGGCAAATGGAGAGAATAATGTAGCAACTTATAAATGTAGAAGAGTTTATGGAATTTGCTGTAACTAAGACACATCAAAAAAAAACTTTAACTCCAGTTGACGGAAAGAGTGATTTTTCTTTAGGAAAATTATTCATTGATGGTTTAAAAAAAAACACAACATACTTTAAACATTTTGTATGGGGTTCCTATTGAGGTTAGATGGAGAAGCTCTACCGAATAGTTCTTTCACATGGCAGAAAACGTTTCCCCTCTCTTTTTAAAGTAGCCATTTTCAACTACTAAAGGATTCATCATACTATTCATTAATAAAAAGTAATAATTGTTATGGTACAAATTTACACTACTTTTGCCTATGCAATAGGTACTAACCCCATATGCGGCCATTACAGAAATATGTACAAAATGCTAATAAAGTACACGCATTTAAAATTACCTAGCAATAACATTTTCTCTTTTGCATTCCCAGTTGAAGAATCTTTCTTCTCTGATTCTGCCATCTTTGTTAAAGCACTGGTTGAGATTTTCCCTGCATAAACAGATTTAAGATTTTAAGGTAATACTTATCGGATAAGGCCAGGTATCATTAGTTCAGAAGATTGATTACAGTCAGCTATTCACTGTTTCATCTTAATTTCATTACATAAAAACAAAGGAACTTGCGTTGCAACAGGATTCTGACTTGACGATAATATTACTTAGACACCTAAAACTTAACTCAAAGTACCATGTATCCCTATCACAATTCACAATTTTTTGAGCACCTGAACATAATTGCAGTTAAAAGACTTCAACCTAGACAAAAAACAGCCACAGAAACCACTGTCCTTTCAATCTATGTTTGTATCCAATTGTTATCCCAAGTCTGAGTAACTTATACAGTATGATTCAATCTGGGGTATCTAATGCTAAGAAATAAATCAATAATACTGCATGGATAACACTTGGGTACAACCGTGGATTGATACAAAAGTGACAAATACTCAAAGTAGTGCATTGGTACCTTTTTTTTTTTTTTTTTTTTTTTTTTTTTTTTTTTTGAACATAGTGCATTGGTACTTAGCGCATATAATAAGGACTAGAGGAGGTAATAGAAAAACCTTCAGAATCTATTACTTATCAAAGCAAAAACAAAAATAAATATAAACATCATTATTATTAACAATCAAGCACAATTTTCTTCAAACTCAAACTCATCAACAACAAAAGAACATTTGAAGTGTTTCAAAACATTTATCATAAAGCTTGACACTGTCTGTGTATGTGCAGCTTTTATCTACTCGCACATACTGTCGTACAGACGCGTCCTCCATCTCTATCTTCTCTTCCACCATTAGTGCAAAAATACAACTATACAATTCCCGAAGCTCAATTAAGTTTTTCAATAAAGATAAAAGTAAGGGATTGATGTTTAAAATTTATGATTTTCTGGTTGAATTCTACTCCTATTTTCTCGTTCATGTACTCATGTTCTACAACTATCTTCCAGCCAAAGATATGAAAGCACAGTATCAAGAGAACGTCATCATTTGTCGAGCACCGATATCATAAAGGAAGCAAAGGATATGAAATGCACAAAAAGCCTTTCACCAGATGTCATCTATCATGGTGAATTGGTGATTACCAGTAACAATACGAATTACTATATTAACAGTTCCTCAAGAATTTCTAATGATACCTAAATTTTCTTCAACAACGGCTATCTATCAACGAAATTCCCTAATGTTGCGGATTTAATGCAACCAATTCGATGATCATAGACTTAAAAATGCATATCAATTTATCTTTGATAATCACAAATCTTTTAGTATGGCTTGAAAATTTTCAGAAAATTCTTCTTGCTTAACAATACAGACATAAATTGCACATAGTAAAATTCAAGCAACAAATTCGCTCGTTAAAAGCTTTCGTGATTTCAGTAATTACAACTAATTGCTGAATAATTCACCTTAGAAGAACCCTGAACAGACTATAATGACAATTAAATTTGCATTAGGATGAAATTAAACCCTAAATTGTGAAATTGATCTTCGATTATCAGAGAAGAACTAAAACCTTACCTCGGAAGCTGCTTCAATGGAGGAGAGAGAGCTCGGAAGCTGCTTCAATGGAGAACTAAGATTACGCTTCAATGGAGAAAAGAGAGGAAGGCAGAGGTGCAGCGTAAAAGTGAAGCTCTAGAGAGAGAAAAAAAAAAAATTGATGGTATCATTCTAGGCGGGAAATTCATAATTAATCTCCATATTTTTCAAAAATTAAAGTGGAATTTTCATAATTACCGCAAATTGTAAGCAAAAGATCTAAGTACTGAGGCTCTATTTTTTTGAGCTTTTGGGCAAAGCATAATAGAGTAGACCAGATTTCAGAATTATTATTATTATTATTATTATTATTATTATTATTGGTTTGACTTTGAAGGTTTTTGTTATAATAATAATAATAATAATAATAATATTATTATTATTATTATTATTATTATTATTATTATTATTATTATCAAAAATCTACAAAGTCAAACAATTTACAAGAAATTAGTGGGGAGCCGAGATATAATTTGGGCCCCCACCCCTCTAGCTATAGCGAACCCAATCCTGTTGAAGATGTGAGCCGCCGCACGAGCACCAATATCCTGAGTCCTAGCGAACGCCTGAACCCGCTTCAGCAATGCAACAGCATCCTTCTCTAATTCCCCCAATGAAGAAAAGGAGAAAGGAAGAAAACCATAGCCAAAAGCCCTGCAACGCGCCCCATACTTGTCCCGCTTCCGCTGAGCCGCAGCCGACACGACACGACCAAGAACGAAGTCAGACAACCCAGATTGTGTCAATGGAGAAGACCTCGTCAAGTCAACACAAACATCTAGGCCTCTATCCCAAGAGTAAAGCAACACATCTGCTGGCCGAAGAGCCTCGTCGTCCCCTCCAGACAACCCAACGCTGACCCCCTTTCGTGCAGAAACCCCAGAACGGAAACAAACATCAACAAGGGTATCACGAACAACGTTGTGCCGATGTTTAATACCCACCATCCCAGCACAAGACACTGCATGATCCCCATAAATATCCCCATCAAAAACCCTTGAGCAAGCAGAACAAGGAGCCGATACGGAGAACAAGGGAACACCCAACCAGTAGCAAAGAACACAACGGTAAGTCTTGCCATTCATAGTCTGGCCCAGACCAGATATAGGGACCGTTCACAACCAGGCAGAAGTGTGATCCTCCTACTGGGACTTCCATAAGGCAACCTGACGCGGAGATAAGGAGAAAGTGGATTCAGCAGATGCAGTGACCTTCGGGTGAAATATATATCTGCCAATATCTTCATGAGTTTGGGGGCAGTGATCTCACTAGGGTTACGCAAAAGGTCAGTCTCCACAGTCCTATTAAAAAGACTAAGAGCGTCGTCGAAGGCCGGACCTGGACCAACAATACCAGAATTGCGAAGAAGCGAAGCCTGAAGACCAGAAGACTGCAAACGCGATGCAAGAAAAGCAAAGTGTCGAACATCACCCGCTGAATAGACACCCAACCCTCCATAAGAAAAAGGTAAGGTGGCAAGTCGCCATTGCCAATCACCAAAACCTGGCCCCGAAGCATTTACTATGCGCTCCAAAGAACCTCGAAGGGCCACATCAAAAGAAATCTGGGCCGCTTCAAAAAGACGAGGAAGACAAGTGCGCATAGAAAAGTAGAGTTTTGAAACTCCAGTACACGCACAAAGTAGTAACAACTCACATTGGGGATCCTCAAGCTTAGCAACAGCATCTATGAGCACAATGGTCTTCGACACTCTCTGCGAAACAAGCTCACCACAGAAAGAGGCATCCGCACTGACAGGACCACAAAGCAACTTAACCCCATGAGCAGGACGAGCAATATTTAGAGGAAAGACACCGGCCAACCGACTACAAGGGTCCTCTGAGGGCCAGAAAACTTCCGTTTTCGCAACGTTAACATGGAGGCCGAGACGAGGTCCCTCCACCAAAATCAACTCCATAACCTTCCCTACCACCAAGGTGTCACCAATAATAGTGCCATCATCCAAATACCAAGCTTGCAAACATAAGTCAAAAGAATCCCTAATACGACAAACCAACGGATGGAGCACCAAAGCAAAAAAGCAAAGGGCCAAGTGGATCACCCTGCTGCACACCTTGACATGACCTTAAGGTATGCTCCCCATAATAGAGGCTGGCTGGAGTAGAGTAACAGAATTCAACCCAACGCGAAAGAGCTGGACAACGGAGACGAACCTCAAGCAGTAAAGCCGTACGATCAACCAAATTAAAGGCATTCCGGAAATCCACCAGCAACATAGAGAGACCAATATCACCACCTCGAGCCTCAACCAAACGATAAACAACATGAAGAATAGCCTCGCCACCCGTCGGCACCCCAACACCAAACTGAAGACCTCCTAAATAGTTCCCCATACGAGGACCAACTAAAGCAGCCCTAACCTTTGAAACCAAACGGCGCCAAACAGTACCGAATACCACCACCGGGCTTAACAAGTGGCGTGAGAGGAGCACTAGCAATATACTCCCCCAACTCAGCAGGACATTTCCTGCGAGAAAGAGATTAACCACCTGCGTAATAGAGCCCACCAACTCATCAGAAATAGCAACCGCAGCACCACTCAAGCAATCAAGAAGATGCTGAGCACACAAGCCGTCTCTTCCGCATGACGAACCACGTGGAAAACCCCGAATCTGATCTAAAACAACAGCAGGTGTAGCAATAAGGGGCTGATCAACGGGGATATCCGGTAAGATAGGAGCCGGAAAGGAAGGGTGCTTATCTTGCAAATCAGCAAGAGTAGCATCATTGTAAGGGGCTAGACCAGAAGACGAAAGTACCCGAACCGCAGCAGTGTAATGCCCGTCACTGATCTTTCTCTTACATTGCGTAATATTACGCTTAGACAAATCATGCTCATCATCAGCATCCAATAGAGGTGGAGACACATCAGCCAACATATCCCGCACAAGATGCACAAGACCACTAGGCTCACACCAAGAACGAATAGCAGCGGAGATACTCTCTACCTGCCGCTGCCGCCTGACACCCGAAGAACACTCACGACTACTCCTCGGGGTGAAGGTTTTTAGAACACAAAGAGGCAACACAAGCAGTTGAACCCAACAAGAGACGTCATCAGGCTTGCATATCACCTTATCAAGCGCTCCTTTAAGTAGCCGAGAAAAACCCAAGCGACACTTAGGAGGAATAGATTTCACCGAACGGAACCGCTTAGATAGCAGACGATCTAGGAGGGCAACATCGAACGCCAAAAGAGACTAACGAGGCGCAATAGGGGCAAGATCATATACCTCCGAAGAAAGACGCTGTGGTTTAGGAAAACCATAAAGAACAAACTGAACAACACCATCCCCCAAATCAGGTGGGTCCACAATATCCTTCGAACCACGACCATGTCGACACTTCGAACGAAAAGTATGAGTCTTGAAACACACCCCACAAAGCCAAATGCCCATACGCCGAAACATATGGGCATTTG